ATAAACATATTTCTTGAACATTTTGTGTAACTTGAAATTGAGGTCGTCGTTGAAGCCAATATTCGTCATTATTAAACGAACTCAGATTACATCTTGGATATATATAATGATCAGGATATTCTTTAACATCAAAATGAAGATAAAAATAAATAAGATCAGGTAAATATAGCTCGATCAATGTTTTCCATGCAGATGATTCGTCCAAACACTTTTCTTGGACATTAAGTACTACTGTCAAATGTTTTAAATGTGGACTTATGGTGAAAAATCGACAGAAATCTTCAAATAACCAATCAACGTTAATAGTCAAATAAACATGACTGAGTTTAAGAAGGCGTACATCAACAACGGAAGGATTTGTCATTCGATCGTGTAGATAAATTTTGCAATAATATAAGTTAGGTGTATAATGCATCAAAGCAAGTGTTTGATTGTTTGAAATGCTTCTAAAGATGAGACGTTCAAGTACAGAAAGATCAAATTGCATCTGTTTAACGTTAAACTTAGAGATTCCATGCGGTACATCCAAATATCGAAGACAATCACGACCAGATGTCATGATCATTAACCAAATCTGTTGTTGTATCGATTCCGGATCATGATACGTATTAATATCTGTGATTATGATCGATTCAAGTTGTTTCATGGGTAATTGCTCAATAAGAAATTTCAAATTAGTTAAATTCATCGAACTAAATGTAACAGCTTGAAGATTTGCAAAGTTTAAATATGAAATTATCATCTGAAGTTTATGTTGATCATTTCCAAATATTTTCAATGATTGACAACAAAATGATCCATATTGAAAAGTATTATTATCGATTCTATGCGATAGATCAATCTTCGATGGATAAGCTTGAATAATATTGTTAAGTTGTTGTTTTAATCCAAAGAAGGATTTAATTAGATCATTGAATGATAAATAATCGAATATTTCAAACAATAACTCATTACTTAGATTATCAAAACAGTTAGATATTACCATCTTTAATGAATAATATAACTTGTTTGAAGAACATGTGTTAATGTACTTATTTGAAATTCTATTTCATAAAAGAATTAAACATTTGACGAATATGTATTCGAATATATGTGAAATTTATGCTTCTGCTTTCTCACACCTTTCGACACTATGCACATGATTGTTGCTAGTCACATTAAAAAACAAAAATATGACGTCATTGAGAAGGAAAGACAGGTTGAAACTAAAAGATTACACAATTTTCTGAAATATGTTGACATTAAACGGAAATATTTTTTATTTTTTTCAAGTATAATAAGTATTATAATAAAAAAAAAAATGAAATGTTCTTTTTTTCTCTTTTCTGATCAGTTAGTTCTGACTATTAAGTCTAATTTCAATTTGTTTAACAGTAATTAGATTCATATATTTTTTATGTTCATCAAAGAATGTTTGTACTCTTAGCATCATTTCTGGCCATGATGATTTAAATTCTGTATATAATGGTTTAACAAATTTCATTCAACCAATTATTTCAAGAAATTTAAATATATCATCTAAAGGTTTTTCATATTTAACACGTATACATAATTGATACCAACGAAAACGAATTTCACAATTTGAATATTTTGACATATCACAATTAATATCAAGTTGTTTTATATAATCATAATTTATTTTTGATTGTTGATTATTAAGAAGAAGATTTAATAAATAAGCAACTTGTTTTGCATTTAACATATTCATTTGTTCTTTTGTAATCGATGATTGTTGAGTAGCCAATTGACGACATTGTTGTTCAAGTTGTGTAGAAAAATCATGTGTTATTGGTGGCATACCAGGAGTATAAAGCCATGATTGCCAATCTACAGATGGTACTTGAGGAAAATAAGATTCAAAATATTGAATAAAATCATCAGTATTTAAAATTTTTCGTCCAAATTTAATTATATATGAACGAAGAAATTCATCAAAATTAGATTCAGAACCAACAATATTTTGTTCAAGATGCCAAAGAAGAGCTGCACCTTTATAATATTGAACTAATGAAAAAAACAAAATTTTTCTTTTCAAATCAAAGAAAAAAAAAACATTATCTACCTGAACTATATGCATCATCAGGATCAATATTATTTAAACGATAAACAAGACAAGTATATGGATGTGTTGGTCCCCATGTATCAATAGAAGTTTTTAAATCTTCCCATTGTTGAGCAGCATGAAATCTTCGCACCTCTTTTCCATTTGTTTTGTCTAAATTTCCAAGTATTTTTGCTTCAATAAATGATGTAAATCCTTCATTTAACCAAAAATGTTCCCAATTTTCATTTGTTACTAAATTTCCTATAACAAAAAAAAAACAAAAGAAATAAATATATTTTCAATGAAGAAAAAATAAATAAATAGATGATTAACCTGTCCAAGAATGTGTCATTTCATGAACAATTGTAGATATTAATGAACGGTCACCAGCAAGTAATGTTGGCGTAAGAAAATTCATACATGGATTTTCCATACCTCCATCTAAATAAATTCAATATTTTAATTTAATTAAAAAATATTTCAAAAATTTGTTTAATAAAATTAGATTCAGAAAAAATATTTCCAAACAAAACGAATTACTAAAGAGACATCGCACTTTAGATGGAATTTCACAATATTGTCTTTATTGATTGATATTAATTTGATCAATTGTCTTATATTGGTATATGAAGACAATCGATTTGTACCATCATTACGATCAATGATGTATACATAACATTAGTTTAATTCAATATTCATCACCATATATTCACGAAAAATCACATTAGTCCAGTTAAATCATTAAAAAAAAGTTATTAGAGCAACCCCTGTATGATTAAAAAGATGAAATACGAAATAACTGCTGTTACGAATAGAAAGATTTGTTTAACACATTTGTTCAAGGCAATACTCTTTATACTCTTCATGTGATTCAAACTAAACCAAAAAACCGTCGATAGGTCATTCGATACAATGTTCGATATATCGGCGGTAGTTTGATACTTAAACGGTCAGCTATCTTCTGATCGCCATGCTACCACGATACACCGATAGTTGTTCTCCGACCGGTGGTAGTGCAAACAAACGTGTAACATAGATCGATACTTCGTTCGATTTATCAGATTAATTAAACTAATATCACCAGAGAGCTTTTGAATTTGTCTATAAAATAAGGTGTTCCTCTGTTAGTGATTCATGACAATACACAAAAAAAAAATTTCGCTTTTCAAGTTGTATCTCTTACGATGTAGAAAGAGGAAATTTCGCCTTATATTTCAATACTCTATGTAGTCAATGTTTCACAAATTGTGATACATGATGGTTAAGGGTAGGTTCTCGCGCACTTCAATCGAAAAGAATACCAAATCTACTGCTGAATTTTCTTCTAATAAGTGACTTCATAACTAAAGATGATCATTTTGTAGACCAAATTATTTGAAATAAATATTTTAAGAAACGTTGAGTAAAATAAATAGAAGAATTATTGAAACTATACTATTAGTATTTAGCTTAATCTACGTTATTTTTGTTTTTACTTTTCGAATTTGATGTTTGTTTTCTTTAAAATTCATATAAATTTATTATTAGTTTATCTATCGAGTATCTCTGTCTAGATAAGCAAAAATTCGACAAAAGTCTTTCTGATGAAATGATCCTGTGTGTCATTAAATGTCAACAAATGAGACTGCAATACTCCTATGTAAATGGACATTGAGCCTATTCCGACTGAAAGCGACTAGAAGTCAATGAAAAAATATGCAGACTTTCCGATCTCACAATACTGCTTTCAAGTTCAATAGGATACTATAGTTTTCTCGCATCTTTCTGATCAATTCCAACGAAATCTACTTGTTTCCGAAAGATTAGAATCATTGACCTGGCGATAATGTCAATATAACTTTCGTTTCTGTATAATTTAGAATTAACAATAAAATAAATTATCTACATTACTTACAAGGAAAAGATGGTGGTAAAACAAGAAAATCATATCTTTTCCATTGATATTCTCCTAGAAGTTGTTCAGCAGCAGTTAAAAATATTTCTGCATCTTCAAATTCATATTGACATTGTTTAATCATACTTGGTTCAGTCCAAACACGAATACAAGGACTTAAATCATATGAAACTAATTGTCCAACAGCAATAGCAATTAAATAAGATGGTATAGCTTGTTTTTGTTCAAAATAAAATGTATTTGTATTTTCATCATATTTTGTTTGTAAACCACTCATTAACTAAGAAAAGAAAAATAATTAAAATATTGAAAAAAAAAAACAAACAAACTCAATTTATGTTTTTTAATACTTACGACAGTCAATGGTTTTGGACATGTTATTTTTGCTGTAAATGTACTTTTAACACCAGGTGTATCTTGACATGGATATAATGAACGTGCATGTATAGCTTGACATTGACTAAACATATATGGATATTTTCTATCAGCTGTTTGTTCTTTTGTAAGCCATTGTAATGCTGTACATTTTGTATTTGATGTTGAATAATAAATAATAATAGATATAATTGAATCTTTTGATAGATCATTTATTTTAATAATTAATGATTCACGTTCTATATCAACTTGAAATGAAAGTAATTTTTCTGTATCATTTGATTTTAATAGAACTTTTTTTATATTTAAATGATGAGAATCAAGAACAAATTGATTTCCATGATTATTTGGAATTTATTTATTTTCAGTTTTAATTGTTGATAAACATTCACATAATTCATTATTTAATGGTTCAACATCAAGAATATTTGTATTAAAATCAATATTTAAATCAAAATGAGTATGAACAATACGATATCCATTAAAACTTGATAAAGAATTTGGATCATAAAATAATCGAGTCGATTGACTCTAAAATATAATTTATTTATGTATATAAAATCAAAATAAAATAAAAGATATTATCAAATAAAGTCATAAATCTACTAAACCCTAGATTTCACTTTCAATAGGAATGCAAAAAAATAAAAGATCATAAAATTCTGCAATATGGTACCTAGAAATTTTTCTTTTATAAATCCAATATGAAAAGATCGAAGTAATTTTTCATACTCTACAAAATGACACAATGATTATATTCATCTCTAACTTTTCTCTTAGATTATTCATAATCAAATCGGTACGATAGATACTTTTATAGAGCACTGTTACACTGAAAATGAGGATAGTGCTACAAATCTTGATGATCAAAAACTATATCATCTAACTCACTATAAATTTAGACAGTTTTCAAAAAAATGTATTCTTTTCTAAGATTGATTTTTATCGAAACATCGTAAGAAAGTGATCATTATGAGAGTACTGTAAAGCCAATATCGACCATTGTCATATTAAATCTTAATCTAACTTCAACTTCATATTAAATTATTTACCATACCCGGAATCAGCACAAAATAGTATATCATATCGTATACATTTCTACGAAAATAATTTTTTACTATCAAAATCGATGTAACCTCCTCAGCAATTTTTTTGCTCAAGTATTGCCTGTACTCCTTCGAGGATGTATTTCTCGTCTTGCTGAAATGTATATATTATCATGTACTTTTTTGTACTAATTCCGAATATGGTAAATAATTTAATATGAAGTTGAAGTTAGATTAAGATTTAATATGACAATGGTCGATATTGGCTTTACAGTACTTCTATGATGATTACTTTCTTACGATATTTCGATGAAAACCAGCCTTAGAAAAGAATAATTTTTTCTGAAAACTATATAGATCTATAGAATGTACAGAACTTCATATGAACTGTTTTTCTATCCTATTGAAAGTGAAATCTTAGGGTTTGACAGATTTACAACCTTATTCGACGATGTATTTTACCTCATTCTTTAATTGACCGTTTGATGATTTATTAGTCGTCATCTGAAAAATATTTAAATCATTTCAATTCGATTTAGATAAAAAAAAATTAAATATTCAATGAAAAAAATAAATGTGATGTGATAAAAAAAAGTGAATATTTAATAATAGTTTTTCAAATATTTCAATCAACTTCCTATTTGATGTATTGTTCTCTTGAAGATTTATTCTTTCAGAAAAAAAAACACAAATTCAAGTCAAGCTGAATATCGATTGCTAACAAAAAAAAATTCTCACATCTTTTATTATATTCTGAATAAAGTAGGAAAAAACTCATATATTATAAAATCACCATTTCCTTTGTACATATATATACCGACAAGTTGAAAGAGAATTTCTTATTCACTTAAAAAGAACATGATTTGTTCTTGCGTGATCTTTGAAATAATATGAAAGTGTGACAAAACCTTTGATATTATAAAAGAATCTTATTGGATGTGGGATTTACTCTTTACCAACAACCACACACCAAACTTTGCATAAATAAAATTCCGAATATGATTAGTACATCGTGATAGTGCAAAATTTTTTATTATCTCCTATTCTCGAATACAAATATTGACAATTCTGATCTGCAAACAAAAAACAAGCAAATTTCGTTCTTATATTCATATCTTAAGATAGAATATAATAGAAAGTATGCCACTTTCACAATGAACTAGTCGCGTTCAGAGTATTATTTGAGACAAAATTGAAACTCGAAAGAATTTATGTCAATTGGTTGCAATGCTGAAAAATAAAATCGTCGAAGAAACTTTCTGAGCATGATAGAAAATAACTCAGAGATTCATATAATAACTAACAATGTATTCAAGGATAAGGACCATTATATATGAGTACAAATACGAATGTTTAAGAAAACACTTCTAATTGACCATGAAGCCACACACAAGAACTAATAATTGTTTTAAAAATTTCTCTATAATCCCTATAGGCTCTTCCTTCTTCTGTGATTTTCACTATTTGAAAATGAATATACTTTTTGTCTTTTAGTAAAATTTCGATAAATTCAAACTATGAATGTCAACATTTCAATTACTATTTATCACCGAGATCATCTAAGAATTCATTCCATGAGGTAAATCTTCACTTTTCAAATGCCTGTAAATGGAGATTGATGGAAAGTAAAATAGAAATCACTCTTCTTCTGTTAAACATGCGACCAAGTGTCACTTATCCAACTCGAAAGTCAACTTTGAAGGTGATCTGATAGAGAACACGGTATTTTGTTGAAAACTCACTAAAATAGTCATCAATTAAGAGGAACGACTCCTGAACACGATTCCTTGTCTAGCCTTAATTGATTCTATTTAATGAGATAAAACTTATTTCAAAAGCACTTTATCACTTGATGAAATTATTACATCAATAGATGATCTCATTTTTCAATGCATTTTCAATTTTGTTGCATTAGAATTTCCTGAAATAAGATAACAATAAAAAAACTACATATCTTATACATTTTATTTTACTGTTGTTGAAATTCTTGAAAAAATTCTTTTCCAATTATATTGTTCATATGAACTATCTGGACTATTTAATAATCCAAGTTTTTCACATGCATCACAAATAGCCATAAATGTAATTAAATCAGGTTTAAAACTTAATAATCCAATTGTATTTAAATCTGATTGTTTCATTTGTTCAAATAATTCTAAGACTTTTAATGGCATATTATTAACAAGATATGCTTTCATTAATGTATTATATGTACTTGTTTCACGTAAATTCATTTCATAAAAAATTTTTTCAGCAATATTTATTTGATTAATTTTACCATAAAAATCAATTAAT